ACGGCGCACAGGCAATTTTATATTCTTCAACGCGTCGGTAGTTTTGTTGTGCATGTGTCTCGCCATTTGGCCCAGGACGATTTTCGCGTTTTGTTCTGCCTACATTTGCTGGAGACGTGAGCTCGGAGCGTGGCAACTGGCCCCCTTGCACGAGAACTGGCGCAGCCGTGCGCGTTCCAAAGAAAGCTCGTGCAGAGAAAACCAAGCAAGGGACCAGGGATGTCGAATTCTGGATATAGAAGAATATCCAACTGTATCGAAGCGCCACCACACACGATTTCTCGCAGTGATGTACAGGCCTGGAAGGCGATCCCACCGCCATCTGTTGGTTCAGAATCACACTAACCAGGGGTGGGGTTGCACCTTAATGCTAAAGCATTTTAATGCGGAAGCATTAACTGTTCCATGGAGCGAAGCCGACGTTGTCTGTAGCAGTGAAAAACGGCATCTAAATTTCGTCTGTAGCAGCGAAAAACGGCACCTTAATTCCCATTGGCTGAGCGAAACGGCACATAAAGTCCCACTGGCCAAAAGCAAAGCAACGTAAGGCTTCGTCACAGAAGTCAGCGGGGCGCTCAAGGTCAAAGCGGACGCGCCTCAGAAATAAAACACAAAGCAGAGCAACGCAGATGCATCGTCACGGAAGCCGTGGAGCCGGCGCGGGCGTCACTCCTGCGCAGCAGGGCAGCGTTATGTCACGGCCAGACAGAATTTGCTCCCCTTCAGTCCCCCCCCCCCCTTCCCCTCATTTCAATCTAGAACGCCTACACACACACACACGCCGTGTGAAGAAGGAAGACGGGGCGCGTTGCTTGGTAGGAATGTGCTCGGTGTGGGAATGCTTTCGCATTCTTACACATAGGCAGTCTTAATAAGTCTTCTCTTTTTTCTTCTTAATAATGTGAATTTTCGTTTCTTTTTTTTAATGAGTCAACTTTGAGTAGAAATGTATTTCTCAAACTTACTTGAAAAGGGCTTCTGAGCGCTGAGTCGAAGGTATTGAAAATATGGGCCCCTTAAATAATTTTGGACCCTCTCGTGACAAATTCGGAAACGGCGCTTCTAAATCTGCTAGAACGTCCAAAACACGGGAAAAGATATCGCATTCCAGTTCGTCTGCAAATGAGTAACGATAAGCGACCAGCGTTTAGTGGAACACCTATTTGTGTGTCAAAAAGTGAAGGTCTCCGTTTTACACTCGCAAAAGGAAACGAGTCCCCATAACAAATCCTTGGGGGACCTCCCCGACCGCAACGCGGTCCTTTTTAGAGCGCAGCTCTTAGGCGCCCGTTTCCGGCTTGAGCGGCGTCGGCGTCGCTGTCGGCGTAACCAAGGTCACCCCCAGGACACGTGACCCCCAAGGTCACGTGACCCCTCTCAAGGTCACCCCAAGGTCACGTGACACCCCAAGCCTCGTGACCCCCAAGGTCACGTGATCCCTACAAAGGTCACGTGACCCCCCTTCCCCCCCCCCCCCCCGAGGTCACGTGATCCCCTCCCCCCGAGGTCAGGTGACCCCCCGGAGTATATTAAAGAATGAGGGGAGGAGGAGGAGAAGGAGGAGGAGGGGTCTACCCTCCCCTCAGTACCCTTCCCTCCTCCTCCTCAAGAGCTGCGCTCCAATTCGGCGTTACAGGGAGTTGTAAACGGCTTTCACTTTTTTTCTTCTCCCTCTCGAACGCGATCTCCTCTTTCCTCCTCCCTCTCCAGCGTAGTGCGACGCCTGGTCAGTACCGCCGCAAGACTTAAAGAAAAAAAGTGAAAGCCGTTTACAACTCCCTGTAACGCCGAATTGGAGCGCAGCTCTTGAGGAGGAGGAGGGAAGGGTACTGAGGGGAGGGTAGACCCCTCCTTCTCCTCCTCCTCCCCTTATTCTTTAATATGCTCCGGGGGGGTCACGTGACTTCGGGAAGGGGGTGACGTGACCTCGGGGAGGCATGACCTGGGGGTCACCTTGGGGGTCACGTGACCTTAGGAGGTGTCACGTGACCTTGGGGGGGGGCGACCACGTGACCTGGGGGTCACGTGACCTTGGGGTGAGCTTGGGGGTCACGTGACCTTGAGGTGACCTTGGGGGTCGCGTGACCTTGGGATGACCTTGGTTACGCCGTTAAAGCCGGAAACGGGCGCCTAAAGCGCGAGACACATGGAAGGCAGAATCGTCCGATCCGACGTCCGATCCGATAGTCCGAACGCCGCTCCGAATCGCCGTACGCGACAGTTTGAGAGACACGCTTCCGATCTTGCATGCGACACGACGATCCGTTCGGCCCCGCTCAGGAGATCCAAGCACTTCAGCGGAGGGCCGCGTTCATAGATCTCTGGTCCCAGTCGCACGAGCGAAGTTAGGAGCTTGTTCTCGCTAGCGCGTGCATTCTTTGCTGGGGCCGTCTTTCTCGAATGGGTCAGCGGGATTCACGCGTCCGGCTTCCGCTCGCCCGTCCCGTTATCGCGTTCGCTTCGTCCCGCCAGACCCAGTACGTCATCATGACGTTCGCGCTAGCTGTGCTGTCATTGGCTGGACGCATCCGACAATCCGTCCGCCGTGCGAAACTATCTGGCGCGTTGGACGCATGTCGGATCGCCGATCCAACGTCTGAAGCGACCAAATTTTTCGGATCAGGCAGTCGTACTGCCGGATCGGACGTCGGATCGGATGAATTTTTCGCGCATGTGTCTCGCGTTTAAGAGCTGCGCTCTAAAAAAGTGAAAGCCGTTTACAACTGTAACGCCGAAATGGAGCGCAGCTCTTGAGGAGGAGGAGGGGAGGGTAGCCCCCTCCTTCTCTCATTCTTGAATATGCTCCGGGGGCGGGGGGGGGGGGTCATGTGACCTCGGGAGGGGGGGGGGTGTCACGTGACTTCAGGGAGGAGGGGTGGGTCACGTGATTTTGGGGAGGGGGTCACGTGACCTCCTCCCCGACACCACAGAAAGGCCATTGGCCCATATCTGAGGCCTGTAGTGCCGCATTACTACAGACAAAACAAAACAAAACAAAGGAAGATTTTCACATGAAACATACACATACACACATGCACATACACACCAGAGAAAGGCCATTGGCCCATAGCAGGACTGTGCTTCAAGCTGCGGGCCAACGGACTCCGTCATGGATTGGCCCAAGACTCCCGAGGAGAGCCAAGTCTGAGGGGGCGGCAAGGAGCACAGAATGAGTGTGACTCACAGCGCGGGCATGCTGCAGATTAGGCTGCTCTGAACGTTTCCCTATCCGGATGTAGGAGTGGAGAGGAGTACCCTATCGACCCTCAACCCTGTCGAGCAGGTGGGCCAGGAATGGGTATCTTACAGGAAACAATACTTGAGCCTAGGCAGGACCAATGCAATATAAATGGCACGAGACATGTCGGGTCCCCAAGTTTGAATGTTGGCAATGTGCTCCGAAAAATCCATAGTGGAGGAAAAGCCAACTCCCAGGATAGTATGAGACTGGACAATCATGATATGGGAGCCTGACAAGAGCATAGGCTGGATGGGCAACGGAATGGTTGTTCCATTGCCCATCCAGCCTACACTCTTGTGGTAATGGAACAACCATTCCATTGCCTTACCTGATGTCAACAATGCAGCTTGGTTTCTGTGTCCTATTACAGAAATCTGAGTAGTACTAGGAAGAATAAAGATTGCCCAGTGGGACAGCTTTCCATTCTGCTTCAGATAGCAGGTTCAAGGTTAGACAACCGCTGCAAAGCCTCACTGCTGACAGTAAGAACAAAATATAAGCTTGATAGGGAGCCCCAATAGTGAGAAACAAAAACACAATGACCGGATAACCAAACTATTAGTATTTTGCTGTTATCTGCTTCTCATCAATCGTTTTCTGTCTCTCCGCTACGGCAAAAACATGCAGATGATTCATGTAGAATACCCGTCCTACCGATTTCAGTGCAACGCTACATCATGTGCATTGTTTTAAAGCGTCAAAATGTTACCTCTGACAAGCCCGCTACTTAGCGCAGTGTAAGAGAATGCACATCGCCCACGAAAAAGTTAGCAATGAGGGGCTCGGACTGGAAACATACTACCCCTGGAACAACAGACAGTGTCCACCATGTCCTGAATAAATAAAAGGCATGCACATCTCATCGACTTTGCTACATTTCGTCCAGTATTACTCAGCATGCTGAGTACACCCTGAACCTCCCAGAATAGAGAATTACATGGTGCACAGCGTGCATGGGGCAACGTCTGCCATGGCAGTCGTGGGCTATGGAGCGTGTGCGGCCCGTGGAGGCAAACATTTGAACGGGGCTATACAATTTTTTTATTGGTCATGACGTCACCAAATTTTGACCAATAAAGCTGCTTCCAATGTGTTTGCTAGTCAACTGTAAAAGTTTGTTGCACGGAGGCTTAGGAAGTGGAACGTTAGTCTACAGCGCCTTGTCCCTGTCGTTTGTGTTATTTTCTATTGTGGCTGTCTGTTTGCACTTTTAAACCTTATACCTACCATGGACCAACTAGCCCAAACCAAAGTTTTAATCTGCCTTTCTAGGCTGGTATGTGGTGTCCCTCTTGTGGATGGAGAATTAGTCCAATGGAGGCTGCCAAGTTTCAAAAGCTGGACCAGCAACTTTTTTTTGGTCCTAGCAATACCATGGCAATACTTTGTTTTCTGCACGAGTGTACCATACTCACTGACCGAGACCAGGATTTCATAACCCTCTCAAGGTTTACAGAAATCCTGAAATGTACTTATCCACTGCTATGGAATAAAAGTAGGCAGTGCACAACATGTGGAAAACAATTGAAAAGAAGTTGATAGGACACGCTTTTCCTGATAACCTGTTTCTGATTGTCCTCGTTGTGTTGTGTGCTATGTATCTTCACTTCAGCATGAATCAACTTGCCTGCATCACCACTTTGATAGATGCCTGTACAATAAACAGTCATTATTTTGAGCAACTTTTTGTGACGATAGCTCAAGCCCAAAATAGACCCAGAGCAAAGTACACAATATACACAGTACACAGTACACTACACAATATCATAAATTTATTATTATTTTAAAGTATACAAAATGGAAGTTTCATCTCAACAAAGCACCACTGCTCGAAACAGTAACTGCAAAAATATAGAAGCTGTTCTTAGGCTGAGGAGTCGCAAAATATTTTCACTCGAGGTAAAAAGCTTGGCAGGTCTTTTTCGTGTTCGCAAACAGGGTTTCCTTTGAGAAGTAGTGTAGTCAGCTTTCGACATGTCTTGAGTGGAACAAGGCCATCTAAAGATGAAATTTCTGGAGTAGCATCAAGGTGAACAACTCTCAGACACAAAATGAGGTTAAGTCATTGACACTAATAATGTAAACACCCTTCAGTGTTATCAGAGCACCTTTCAACAAGCTCAATAGTATAAGGGAGTGGCCACCTAGGAAAATTGGCCCTTCTAAACGACAATAACTTCAATAGAAGTGGCAGACCAATTATGAAAGTTTGCTTTATGATAATTAGCACAAACAGATACGCACGACATTAGACACCCCCAAATGCCACTAATAATGTCATAGGGATGTGGAAATTAAATATAAATTAGTCACTTGATTAAATATTTTAAAAATGTAGCAGCGTAATGCAGTTAATTTACATTATTAATATAGTTGTGGATAAAAAGTCTAAACAAACATAGGACTAAAAATAAAGGTTTAATCGGCAAACTTGTGCCAGAAACAAAAGCAAGAATGAGCGTCGAGAAAGCAGGAACAAACATCGAGGTGTCGGCATGACAGCTGGCTAGCGTCAGAGCCGTGTATTGAGAGAGTTTGGTCAATGGGAGGTGCGGGCAGAGTCAGGGTGTGCGGCAGAGTCAGAAAGAGGGCTTGGCATGCTCTCTTGACCAACCAGAAGCCGAAAAGAATCCCCTAGTGGTGGTAGCAGCAAACAGTTCTGATCAAAAGTCTATGTTCGTATATGGTTTTAATAAACGCGTAAGAGTGAAGTGTAGTAACTCTTCGTGGTTGAAAATAGGGTGCACGTGTTGTTTTGATCATGATCATGCAGAAATATGTAAGAAACGAATGCGCCGCGCAACTCTGTTTTGTGCCGACAGAGTGTGACCGTTCGGACGGCAGATTCCCGGCCCTGGGCGCTTGGCGTATGGATCATGTCGATTGTTCCGCTAGTCGCACCCTTCCACCATCATTTTGGATTAACGTGATTGAAACATCACGTGTACCATATTTTCAGCCATTGAGAGTTACTCCAATGCAGTTATCAGGTTTGTTTCTCGCGACCACCGCCAGGGTATTATTTCCGGCTTCTGGTTGGTCACATTCGAATTTCTGAAGACGCCCTGGAACACGCCCAGCCCGCTTTTGGCCAATTGCGCCTCCTCATTCGTCTCCTATACTTCCCAACGAATGGCCAAACTCTCTACATTTACGGCTCTGGCTAGCGTGAGTGTGAATCGGCAAGGCCATGCTGGCTTCCTTAGCTATTATTATTGGTCTCGGTATCTCAAACGTTTGAGCATCGAACGTTTGGGGTAAGAGCTGAATCTTCTACAGGTACGGAGTTGTGTTCCCTCTCGTCCATGCACGCGGCAATATAAGTAGAACCCCTTTACAGTAAACCTCTCGGGACCGGGCAAGAACTTTACTTGTATATCGGGAGCTTTACTATATCGGGAGCTCCTTAAGATATCTGTTATTGAAGCTTCAAAAAAAGAGCGAAAAGGAATAAAATGTTCATAATTCCCAAAACCAACACCACAACTATAAAAATACCACTTAGTTGCAGTAAAGAACTCGGATATATCAGCTTGTTTTGTAGGTGTTTTGAACTTCACAAGGAAGCTCTCGAGACTGATAGTATGGATATGTCTTGCCCATTAGCACCTGCTGCATTTGAAGCCCCCCTGACTGTCTAAAGCCAACTAGAGTTCACGTCTTATACGTCTTGTAGGGATGGGTTAAGGTTCTTCCTTTGGGCAGCACTTATTCGGTACATTATTCAATGGTCGCGTCAGAAATGGCACCTTTGTTGTTCGACTTCCGATGAAGACCAACACAGTTCCCTGCCTTGAAACGTTCAGACGAACTGTTTGATGCCTCGAAGTCTTTTCTTCTCATAAGAGGCCCATTGACTGGCCTTGTTTACAAAGTGTGCTTGTCAAAATCATTCAAGCAGCGCTGTGCCAACATTTTAATTTTGGAGCTTTGGAGCTTTTTGCAGTTTCCACTGTTTCCATCGATGATTATGTCTTCAATACACTACAATTTTCCACCAAGGCCAAGACTGCTGCAGCAGAAACGCCGAATTAATCTGCAATTTGCTTTTTCATCCGGTCGTTACCTGCTCTTTAAACGAGCGTAGTTCACTTACGATTCAGATCAGTCATAATGTACAGCTCAGAACCGAACACCCCAAAAAATGCGGCACCCTTATGGTTTCGTTAGGCCTATTGTTTTGACGTGGCAGACGATCGTGGGCCCCCGAGTATGGAAACAATCACGAGCGACCGCAGCACCACTGACGCTCCCTCAAAAAGCAGTCATTGTATAAAGTAGTGCTGTAGCCTGCAGCGCTTTGGTGGTAAATGTACACTTATAGAGTTTCTAGGAGCCGATCCACACTGATCTCACCAAGAGGGTAGTAGGTTGTTGCGGGGAGATAACACTTCATTGGTACTACCGTGTTTTACTGTAACCGGTACTCAAGTTTTGACGGTTTACTATATTCGAATTTTGAGCCATACAGGAAATGGGAATTCAGTCGGGATGGGTGCTTCTTTTACAATAACCAGAGTTTTACTACACGCGGAGTTACTATAGCGGGGTTCTACTTACTACATAATGACGTATTCACTATAACCTTTAAACAGTGGTATAAAAATTAAAAATATTTTAACATTAATTAGCAGTTTGTTCGGGGAGCCTTCTTAGTACAGTTAGGTGTGCTTTGCCCATGGCACGGGTGCATGTGATAAAAAGAGGTGCATGAAGTCTGTGCCACCACTAATATTACGCAAGAATAAATGGACTTCCAACTGTCCCACAGTGCTTCCCAAAGTATAAAGTGTTTACAATATGAACCACGGCATACAATAACCTGACCCCACATGAAGTTGAACAAATTGAGCAAACCATTCAGCACAAGGACCAACCATGGTAGCTGGACCCAAAGGATACCATTGTCCTCGAGTGAAAGCCACTGCAGATGAGGCAGCTCCTCAAGGCCCAAGCATGTGAGCACCCTGTTGCCAGACAAATCCAGCCTGACAACGCTCTGCAGGAAGCATAACGAACGTAGACCCCTGATCCGGTTCCTGGAGAAGTCCACGTCGCGCACCAGGGCCAGGTGGTCCGGATGATACACGCATGTCAGCTCCTTCCCAGCAAAACTCACGCGCTCTACGTTTGCATCCAGTCCCTCCAATGCAATCTCCATCACAAACTTGGACTCTGTAATGGCAGTCCAATGCATGTAAAGGAGTTCGCAAAAAGAGCCACCTGTGTGCAAGGTTCACTACTTTGGGGGAGTGCCGTGAGCTCATTGCATTCAATGGGGCAATTCACACGCTGTTGGAGTATAAGTTCCAAGTGCAGTAGAGCCTCGATGACACGTTCACGGTTTTTACGTTTTCTCGGCTCTTACATTCAAAACTGTAGGTCCCACCAAGCTCCCATAGGAACAGGCGTACTGATTTCCTGCTTATTACGTTTGTCTTCCCGAAGCGTGCCGCAAAAGTGGCGCCGCGTGTGCCGTTTCTTGACCTCTTGGCACTGCGCACCGCGGAGTCGCAAGCGCTGTTGAGGAGAGCAGTGTGGAGGAGCGTCAACGTACGTCAACGTACGCCAGTCGTATACACCTATAGCTTTCACTGAGGTAAGGCAAAACAAAACTACCACAAAATGCCGGGGAGTGCCCCCCCCCCTCCACTTTCACAGAAAAATTAGTTAATCTAGACATCAGCGCTTCTCTGGTCAAATCGGGTGGTTAACGTATAATTTGCAGGATTCCCAAGTTAAGTAAATGTTAATCGTGGGTGCTTGAACGAAGTCGGCGCTTCTGCGGCATTTTATGATAATTAAAATTCAGCAAACATATTTTTTCGCTGATAATTTAACTCATTTAAATCCATCAGTGTTTTCAGACATAATTTTCGAGTATATTTCACGTCTTACAACACAGTGAGTACAGAGAGGACTCGCGTGTCAAAGGGAAATCCGAGATGTCAATGCCTTCCATATTTTTCGAATTGCCATGTCCCAGATGAGTGCGTGTGCCTCGTGAAAAACGGAAATGTTCACTGGGCAAATTGACTTTGAAGAAAACATGCCAGCAGTGAGCACGATAAAAGAAATGCTTCTGATTCTCTTTGCTGACTCTGCGCAGCACTGCTACTGCCTCATCCAACTGTCCGAAGCCATTTATATATTGCATTGCTAGTATCCGGCGGCTACGCTCAGCTATATACCACGACTACGCGTATATAAGAACTCTCGTACAAAGTCCAACCGCTGAAGCCGTGCTCGCACGCATCAAGTTTCGTTTGCGGAGGAGAACGGCTGTTACCAGGGAATTTTCAGACTCTCAACCTACAAAACAGCGTGCACCTCGCTGCGCCATTTTATCATGTATTAAGTAAATAAACACATTTAACCGGAGTATGTGAAGCCAAAGTTCCTCTACTCCATGCGATGCTTCAATACGTGGTTTAGCCTGGCTGTGCCTAGTTTGAAAAAATTCTTTACTCGAGGATAGAGAGTATTAAGGAACTTTGGGTACTCAAGGAGTCACTGGGCAAACTCCGGGAAACCCTTGAAAACCAGCACGAGAGTCCCCGGCTGCTGCGGTCTTCAATTCCCGTAAGGTATGGGAATTGTGCAGGTAGCAAGGAAGAGGAAGCAGCGGAAGGACTCACTCAGGTCTCGGTAGTAAGCAGATCGCATTGGGTCGACGGTCAACAGTTCCACGAGAAACTTCTCAATCTCCTCTCGGTGCCCCGAGCCATCCAGAGCCCGCATAAGCAGCACGCACGTGAGCAGTGGCCCTGCATTGGAAGAAGCTGGCCTCGTGAATGGCCTGGCTTTTTAAACAGAAAAGGTTCGCACTCACACTTGTTTTGGGGCTCCAGTTCGTGTAGCGCCTGGCATACCTCGAGCTCCTTCTCCAAGACAGAGGTTCGGGCAGCGCTCAGTTCGCAACTGCGGTGATTAGGATCGTATTCAGAGGGTGACTCGCTTCACAAATCAAAAGCATTCATTCGTTACAAAAAAAATTTCACTTTCTAGCCCTGCCAGAGGTATGGTTTCTCTATAGACCAACACATGGCTTTGACATAATGCTGCTGTGGTGGCGCTGCTGTCAGTGTGGTGCACGTGCAGTGGCTTCACTTCATGCCAGTCTGGTTTCTGCTCATGTGCAGTGCCCACACATGGTGTGGGCACTTGTTTGTAAACAGCGTGTTAGCCTACAAAGCGACATGCAAGTAGGTCTCTTCGCACAAGAGGAGAGGGAGCTTTTGTAATTTCGAAATACCGCTATCCCCAACCTGATTAGTATGTAGTTCCCCTGTGCCGGTGGAGACTCAATAATAACAGCACCCATGCAGAGCTTTCAAACATGTAAAAGGACAGTTCCATAGCCTGTCAAGAGAGCCAACCTGTCTGACCCTAAAACTGGGTCATCCGATCATTGGGTCCCAGGTCAAAGTAAGTCCAGTTGGAGCTGGATTATGAAAAGGGTCCCCGATGGATCTTGTTGGATCTAGCCCGTGTAGACGAAGCAGACTACTTAAATGTCATTGTACAAAAATTTTAAATAAAAATATTGGACCATTCATCTTCCTCAGTTCTTGCCAGCTAAAAAAAAAAGGCAACAGTAGGCATGGTAGTTCATCGCCAGCAGGCAACTTGGCAGTACACTGTGATAGGTGCGGTTGCAAACCCTTTCTTGATAGAACGAGCATCTTAGGACGACACAGTCAACAGGTGACTAGAGAAATTTCAGAGGCTTTTTACATTTCGATGCAAAAGGAAGGGTGCATCAGTTCACCTTCTATCGCATTATTTGACAAAGAGTTGGCATTTTTGAGCAGGCTTGACACGCATGGGGGAGCAGTGACTTGATGTTTTTTGATGATCGTGACACTTGTCCATTAGTGTTTTTCTTCCAAAAAATCAGACTTGAGAGTCAGCACTCCGTTTGTACACTTCACCTTCTTGTCTCCCGTTTTTTTGGTGCTGTTTTACTTTTTCTTCAAGCATGGTAAAGCCACTATTGGAAAGGGTTTTATATGTGCAAGTGGGTTAATCACTACATCACTACAAGGTTGAACACAATTAGAGCCTTGGACGGATTGGTGATCCACAATCCCCTTCGATGCACATTTATAAATGCAGTAGGGAACCCACCTGAAGAGGTGATTTCGTGGAATGTTTCCAGTGAACCTCACTTCTTGTTCAGAGGCCTTGACAGACAAGACTGCGTGCGCTTCTGCACCATCCCGAGATCTCACCGTGGCTTTCCATTCATTATCACAGTTCCCCACCAACGCATCACCAGGAATGTCGGCGTACTAGAACAAAGAATACATGTTAATTGCAAATTATCATAAAGTAGTGCTCTTTTCAGTGCCTGTTCAACTCGGCTATCTTTTTTAAGAAAGCTAACAAACTTGAATATCAAGAACAATATTCACAGCACCTGGACCCTAGACTACACCACAAAAGCAAATCTACTAACGGTCACATTTTCAAATTTTATGGTCCTTCTCACGGCTAAAAGAATTGCACACATACCCAGAGAGGAGAACACAACAGTGTGCTGGGAGCATGCCATACTAACGAAAGGGGAACTCCATCCATCCTGACAGTCAGCTCCACCTCCTCAATCTATGAGAAGAAAACCAGAAAATAAGGAGGTCTGTGCAGACTGCAACAAATTCAATGTGCTTGTTCCCTTTTTTGTGTCATTACTACTGATGTTCACAAAGAAAACAAATTCTACCAAAAGAAATATTAACAGCTGAAAACCTACCGTTGAATACCGTGCATCCGCCCATACAGGGCCGTAACCAGGGGGGGGGGATAGGGGGTTCTGACCCCCCCCGAAATTTTTTTCTGGGTACGGCCCTGGTCGGTGCACTTGCAGCCAGCCGATTTTAATCTCCACCTCTGCGCACGCGCAGTGGTGCCGGTCGGCTACCGGATACCAAACCGGGACCGGTTCTCCGGTTTGCTGCAACTCTCCATTATATACCACCGGTGCACATGATTCATAGGCGAAAATAAGACAATATACACTTTCGAAATGGCCGCCGTTGTCCCCGAAAACCCCCCCCGAAATTTTTTTCTGGGTACGGCCCTGCGCCCATACCACATTAAGCGCCCATACCCAAATTCATAAGATCTGAGAAAATATAAACAGTACATTGAAATGTAGAATTGATGACCGGACAAGCGCCCATCCCCCATTTTTTCATGATTATCTCAAAATTTTGAGTGGGTGCTTGCCCGGTATTTTATGGTATATAAAAGGACATGGTAAAAGAATTGGATTATAAAATGTGTTCTCTAAAAAATTATGTAACACACAAAACAACTTCAGCTAACTCACCCTTATCTGCTGAGTCAAATGAAGTGTCACTGTACGAGTTTCCTTTGAAACACAGAAGAGAAGGAAACCTAGCGCCGACCTCTCTGAAATAAGCAATGACAGCTGTATAATGACACAGTCAACCTGTATAATGCCTAGTTATCAACCTGAACATCAAGTGTCATGTGCCAATGTTTACTCCGCCTAAATGAAAATATGAGCGGAATTACAAGATGTGCAGTGTTCTGCAACTGCCAAGTAAGCAGCATAAAGAAGCTTTAGCCACCTCCATTCCCAAGTTTATTAGTAGAACCGAGCCAGTGTCAGAATTGGCTTGAGGACCAATGGCTGTACCTCTTCCTGTGAGCCACCTGTGGTAGAACCAGCCACTCTGGTCCCCGGGGTCTGTGAATGTGGCATTCTGAACAAGGCTGTACTCTGAGGCACAAGAGACAGACAAGACAAAAAAGCTGCATGAGCGCCAAATCACTCTTCCGAAGCACACTAAAAATTTCACCGAAATCGCTGGAAAACAAGTAGGCAAATTTGTAGGCAAGGGTAGTGCCAGCACCTTCCAGGAGGACATCTTCCTCAACGGTACCCTCTCGGGAGCCTGGATGGACCTTCGGCAGAAGGCTGCTTCGATAGTGCCAGGCTGAATAGTTGGAGAAGTTGGCTGCAATCTTGTCCATGGTGAAGGACAGCTCTTTCTCCGGGGTCACTTTGGCACGCTGGCACACCAGCCGACGATAGTCCCAGCCGTTAACTGCACGCCGAATTACGTCCCAAGAGGAAAAACAAATGTACTAAGCTTTGCGCTCCGACCACGTGAAGCAATCGGTAGAAAAACAGTCATCAGAATGCTACTTTCAGCAAGTAACTGACAATGTATGACTCAAAGTCCGGTACTAGTTTGGAACGTTTCCTGAACAAAAATAAATTATATAAAAGGGACCAAGACCAAACACTAAGAACTTACAGTTACGTTCGTCCTGCTCAAGTAAGAGATTGCAAAGGCGAAGTTCCCTGTCCCAGTCCATGTTGGGAAAGGCAGCCATGGCCCACGCACGGTGGCTCCACGCGCCGTAAGATTTTGGATTCTTTTGCAGTGCCATTTCTGTGAGCATAAGTTCGCCTTCCCCGTCCTCTGCCGTGTGTTTGGACCTGTAGCAAAGTTGGCTTTGTTATGTCTACTGCTCAAACTATTTACACAGCAATTGCCTCATCAGCTGAAAAATGTCGAACAGAAGTTATCTAGAAATTGAAAGGCTGGTACAGCAAAGAAAAAACTAAATACATCCAAAAATAAGGGAAACAATGAAGACAAGCTGGTGATGCATCCCTGTGCCATCCACCGTAGACAAGGAACACTGACAAATGCACAAAAAGACTGGGTGAAGAGTAGAGAAGGAGAAAAACGTAGAACATATGCTCAAAGTCCTGAACAGACACTTGATGTCATACATGCCTGCCTTTATGTAGTTCCCTGCATATGTTTTTTTTTTAATTTGATCTTAGTTAAACTCTGTCAACACACTTTTGTTATAAAGAGCCTCCGTCATTATGTCCCGCATGGACAACTCGTGGTTCCAAACCACAGATATCACTGTTGTTGACACTGCCTTCTGCAGCAAATTCCAAACACTGCAGCAATGCCTGCAGCGAGAATAAAGCCTCAGGCTGATAGTGCAGCTGTCAGGCTGGCAATAAAGACGGGCTTGACGTCATAGCTTTAGCAGGCTATGCAACACGGGTTCCCGTGGCAGAGGCATGTTCAAAGGTGGGAGGAAGCGCTGGTAAACTTCGCTGATCTGTTGGCCCGAGGGGTCGCACTCCCGTTTCTGCTTTGGGCAGCCGACTATTAGGTTCCCGTTTTTACTCCAGAACAGTGTGGTAACAAACATATGGTGTAGACTACTTGCCCTTTTTCAAAGTATTTCTCGAATACTTCTCTCCGAATGTTCCACAGAGTACTGTCATCGGGGTTAGTTTGTAAAACTTGGCCAGTGATGCGTAGCAGCTCATCATCCAGTTCTCCGCTTTGCCTCTGCATAGAGGAAGCAATGCAGAGCGCAAGTTTGTCTGCTTCAGGCGTGTAGCCAGGGTGGGTGTTCAGGTTTCAGAACATCCCCCAAAATTTTATTCCCCCCCCCCCCCCCCCAGCAACACTTTCTCTTTCGGGCATTAGCTATTTCTTCTATACCTCGGCTCACAGCCTCTTCGAAAGCAGTCAACCTCCCCGCGTTTAGAGTTGTTTTCACAAACGCCAAAGGTAACGTGATCCGGAGGGGAGACCTAGCTATGTCCGACTCGCTCGAAGGTTATCCCTGAACAGAACCAGAGGAGTGCCCGAATTCTGCAAGCTCGCAGGGAGCGGGGGCTTGGCGCACAGCAATAGCAAAGGACAAAGGCTTGAAAACCTGACCTCGGCATCCAAAGACACAGATTATCTTACCCCAAAATTTTGGGTGTCTTGCGCAGTTTTCTTGTCTTTCTAGTCACAGCTTAACTTAACAAAAGGCATAAGTTATGGCCCTGGTGAGCCCATCTGAGTGAAAGAGCTAAGTATGAGGCAAGTTTGCACAGGAGCACAAGACATTACGTTGTCACATGTGTCAATTGTAAACGCTTTGATTGGCTGGCTGAGGCGGTAGGTAGCCTTTGCTCCCTTTTCCAGGTTACGAGAAAATTCCTCATACCACGCCCTTTTCCAGTGAGCTTCGAGGACTGGGCCGCCCGGCACAACGCTACGGAACAAGTTCTTATACAGCAAAAAAAATTAATAAACAAACACAAAGCTACCAGTGCTCCTGCAGAACTTCAAGAGAGATAGAAAAGGGCCTGAGGGGTATGCTCTGGTCACCTCGTTTTTCTTCGAGAGCAGAACGCATAGGAATGACCATGGTGGCTCCATAGGGATCTGCATGAACCGCTTTCACATAGTTTAATCAGTCTGCGTTACAAATGATTGTAAGTTGGTGTTCCGCGCGCATCGGTGCCCTGTGTTTTGTGAAAATGAAGTAAGCGAGTCAGGTATCTTTGTAGGAGAGGTTGTGTAAATGTAACCCTTCAAATTATTAATATCACAAAAAACATTAGAAGCTCACTTTTTCAGGACAATAATTTGCTGTATGAACGCATCTGCAGTGGGAAGATCAACGAAAGTTATTCAATTGCATTGTCGGATTTGCTTTATATATCGGAACCTTTTATTTTCTATGTTATATTCAAATCTTTGTCCATTGTAACATTCTTTTTTTGTTTTTATTAGTCATATACAGCGTCGTCGAGATAAATCCGGAAAATTCACCATATTCAGGAAAACACCCAGAGGCAAAGATAAAATGAATATCGATTGTTTTCTGTGCTTTGCTAGGCCTGCTGTAACGTCTTCTTGGCTGACAGATTATCTGAACGCCTTGGCAATGTTGTAAACTTGTATCTTCTTGTTGCCATATACCACTCAATGACTTACTTAATTAAGTGACTTTCCGATATGAAGCGACTCAAGTATCGCTGTCTTCCGGTTGTATTCTCTGCTCATTTTTGAGCAAGTCACGAATTGTTTATCATGCGATAGTCCGCTGTCGAGTCACGTGGCCACAGAAGCACAACACAGCTGATTAGCTTGCTTCGTTGAGAGACGAAATCTGGAAAACGTTCGGATTTATCTCGACGACCCTGTATTAAAATGTTTCCTTTGCAATTGAGTCCTTGGGGACTCCTGGGCACTTTCCTATATAGGGATCATAGTGTAAAGTAAGGGCAAGTGTTTGTCTCAATAAATCTTTTTTTTTTTTGTGCGTGTGTGATCATACCAGCACTCCAAAACACCCCCCGAAAATATTTCCTGGCTAAGCCACTGGTCTGCTTCTTGCACAGAGGTTGAGATGATCTCGGAACGACAAGCTCTTATTGGCCGACTGGAAAAAAATAGGGGGTAGACCACAAGGCGTCTAGCGTTGAGGTCTGCATACCCGCGTGATACTCGGAATGAAGAGCGTGCTGGTAAGGATGTATATGTTTTGTCTTCTTCCCATTATTTATACTAACAAAGCCGCCGGTATACAAGCGGCTTTGACACTACCCACTATTCTGTCAATCAAAGCCAATCAGAACTCGGCGTCGTTCTGACGTCACCGCGAACCCTGCGCAAGAAGCAGACGACTTGCTCTCCGCATTACGCAAGTGAGGGAGAATTTTGCACGAAGCTTACTTTTTCAACGATTTGACGGTTGGCAGCTTTGTAGGTCTTCAACTTCTTTTCGCGTTCTTTACGTTTTTCCTCTTCTTGTTCGGCAGTCGTCTTCACTTTCAATCTTCCGTGCTGACGAGATAAAATTTCGAAAAGAGTCGGGGCCGTGTAACTTTGACACTTTGATCCAAAGAAGAAAGCAGAGACGGCAATCGCCTACCATTTTGTTGGTCACCGATGACCGTGGTTGAGGTCGGTTTTAGATTATATGTGATTTCGGTAATCCTATAATTCCAATCGAACACATGACAAACATAAGACGCAACGGACAGTGACCCTGCCGCTGCCGCGCACCGCCAACGGAGTGCGATTGATAGATGAATGGATTCTGATTGCTACACCCTTTATAATGGACTGTAGCTTGCGCCATCTATCTTATAAATTAAAAGGTATGATTCATCCCCTCTCTCTTTTGAGTTTGGGATATCCTGCAGAATGACCTTTTGGGGATCGGGCAAAATAACTAAAAACGTCACCCCCCCTTCCCGCCTCCTCCTTTGAGTTGACGCAGACGACGGTGTTTGGAGTCGGCGTTACCCCAACTTCGGGCCCACTGGGAGACAGGGTCCGGATCCATGTGGGAGGGAGTTCCAGTTTTCCTCTCTCCCGCCGTGGTCCCGCCTGTCCCCAGCTGTGCTAGTTAGTTTGGCTTCATTCAATTTTCCCTGGATAATTTCCACTAATCTTCTAAACTCTTTTTTGTGACTGTGCATGATCCTTTATTCCTCCATCCTTCCATCCTCGCCACCAAAACTCAGCGGCCCTGCCAGATCTGCCGTACCCATGGGCGTACCAACCGGGGGGGCAAGGGGGGCGCTTGCCCCCCCCAGTTCTCAGAGTGGGGGGGCAAGGCATGCGTTTTGCCCCACCCCTGAAACGGCCGCCACTGGGCAGAGCAGACACAGGCCGGCGGCGCCCAAGGAATACCAAGGGCACTGCCCCCCGACCCGCGCGGGCATATTTTTAACGCGCAGGCGATACAAACCCTAGCAACGGTGCTCACGCACGCCGGATTGGCTGGTTTGTGGAGCCTTGCCCCACGAACAAGGCTACACGGTAACCTAACGGAATCCATCCGCGAGACATGGGCCGGACGGGCCGTCCAGACCAGGACGTAGGCCCTTACACAAAATAAAGTTTTGCTAGCTTGCTTGGAGATAGGTGCTGCCGCCGTCAACATAGGCAGCGGATGCAATGCGAGTTTCCGAAGAGGTAGCGTAACTTAGTGGTGAGATGTCTGCCTCATACGTGTCAGACCCAGGTTCTATTTATGGTGTGGGCCGGCTTACTTCTTTTTATTTTTTTTCTCGAACATTTTGTTTTGTCGAGGCATTTGGCGATATTTACATTTCTTTTTTACCATTAACACTAAAAAAACGAATGTTGTTGACGAAACATCGCTAAACTAAATCGTATCGACTCTATTTACGGAAGTGCATGGGGGGCAGCGGGGCTTGGGTTGCCGACCGGACGCCGCAAAGCGGCGTGTACGGGGGGTGGGGGGGCTAGGTGGGTTAATAGATTTGTAATTAGCAGCCGCACACCGTCACCGCGAAGCGGCGTGAACGCAGGCGCGGGGTGGGTTAACGCGCTTCGAGTGATACACGAGCAGCCCATCCGGCGTGAGCGTCGTTGTTAGGGGTTCTATCGCCTGCACCGTAAAAGGAGCAGTGTGTGCACCTCCTGTAGTGGGCAAGAATTCCTACATTGGAGAGAAGCGGGGACAAGCCCTTTCTTCAAATGCGTCAAGTCTCCTTGAGCTTCGGAATACAAAGAAACGCCACTATTCGGAGCTAATCCCACAGTTACTCGACCTCTCTTGCGTCGTGTCTGTTCGCTCCCCGCGCCCCGTAGCAGTGTTGTTGCAGTGGGGGGGCTCGTTAAAATTTTGGGGTTTTTTGGACTATCTAAATCACTTTCTTCCTTCCCATCCCCCCCTTTTCTACTCCGCATGCTTCCCCCTCTGCAAATATCAGCTGACTTTCCGACATCTTTCCTGTGTTGATAGGCAAAACAACCACTAAAATTAGAAAGTAATTTGTAATTTGAGTGGAAGTCACTCGGAAAAGTAGTTAAAGTAAACTACGAATTACTAGAATATAAATGTAATTAAAAGTTACTAAACTACCCAGAAAAGTAGTTAAACTACAGTAACTTGAGTAAAGTAGTTGAACTACGTACAAGTCTGGCCCGGCAGGCGCTCTGCGTAAGGGTTTTCACCTCCTAGCCCCGCACACCATCACATGGGCCAAGAAAGGTGTAGTTTTACTGCAGAGGAGAAATCAGCAGAGTCCAAGATGGTGACAATGGAGGATGGGGGACTGTTCCAGTGGCTGATGGCTTGAGAAAGGAATGACCAATTGAAAGCGTTAGTAGAGTCAGAAATGTGCTTGATGGTGCAGACGTTGTTGAGGCGAGAAGATGTTCGGTCGGGGGGTAATAACAAAGTGGTTTTGAGGTCGGGAATGTGGTAGTAGATTTTGTGAATAAAGCACAGCTGAGAGACTTTTCTGCGAAGCTGCAAAGAGGACATGGTTAGTTCAGTTTTTAGCGCTGAGACACTGAAAAAAAAAGTCATAAGTGGATGAAATGAAGCGAGCAGCTCTGTTCTGAACTGCCTCTACAGGGTATTGATGAGGTACAGTCGATGGGTATTCCAGATGGTTGAAGCATATTCTATTTTGGTCTGACGTGCGTGTCCAAGGTTAGCTTACGAACAAAGGGTGGAGCCCTTTTTAAGTTACGTCTGCTTAGTCCAAGAGTTCCAGATGAATCGGCAGTAATGACTTCAATGTGGTTATTTTAGGGAAGGTCAGATGTTAGTCTTACACCAAGGTATTTATACACAGTAGCGGTCTCAATCAGATCGGAGTACAAGAAGTAATTAAATGACAGTGTTTTTTTTTTTTTTTGGTGAAGTGGATTAGTTTGCGTTTATACTTGTTTAATGACATAATCCACTCTTTGCAACAATTGTTAATTTTCTCTAGATCTTCCTGAAGCTGGTTATTATTTTGCACACAAGTTACTTTGTTATGGATGACGCAGTCGTCGGCGAAAAAGCAGTTTTTTGAAGAAATCCCAATGGGGATGTCATTAATAAATATTAAAAAGAGTAAGGGCCCAAGTACGAACCCCAGGGGAACACCAGGAGATACATTTATTAAGGAAGATTCATGATTATCATGGACGTGACCTGTACACGGGAAAAGAGAAAGTCACGAATCTATGCAAACGGTTATTTGGTCGAGGCAAAAAGATGATAGCTTAGAAAGAAGGCGTTGATAAAAAACACGGCCGAACGCTTTGGAAAAAAAAAAAAAAAACTGCGTCAGTTTTTTCATTTCAAGGTTCAAGGTTCAAGGTTAGTGTGCAAGTCATGGATGAAGTCGCAGAGTTGTGTTTCGCAGGAAAGTACAGTCTCCGGCGATATGAAAGACCCACTGGGAGCGCGTGGCCGAGGCGGTGGCTGGTGGGGGCGCTGCGAGCGCTCCGGGCAGTTCCATTCTGCTTCGAGGGGAGGACGCTCATTCGGCACTCGGCACAAACTGATAAGCGCGTTTCGCTTTATCTGAGCCCGAGTGAGCGTCCTCCCCTCGAAGCAGAATGGAATTGCCCGGAGGGCTCGCAGCGCCCCTGGCGCCCCCGCCAGCCACCGCCTCGGCCACGCGCTCCCAGTGGGTCTTTCATATTGCCGGAGAGTGTACCTTTTTGAAAACCGTGCTGCTGTTTAAAGAAAAGAAATGGGATGATAGGTGCCTCGTGATATTGGAGTAGAGGATATGCTCAAGTAGTTTGCAAGAAATTGAAGTCAATGAATTAGGGCGATAATTAGATGCGGAAGAGCGGCTGCCCTGTTTAAAGACTGGGAATTACCCTTCCCACCTTTTGGTCAGATGGAAGGCACCTTTGAGACAAGGACTGAATAAAGATAAGTTTTAAATACTCACTCGAAATAACACTGGTGTTTCTTTTAAATTTTAGAGTTGATGTTATCGGTTCCAGCGGACGAAGTAAGTTTTAGTTTATCAATCAATGTTATAATACCGGCGGAGTTAACGTTAATAGGATGCATGCGCTCGTAAAGCTCTTCAGGGAGAGTGGGGACGGAGTCCAAGCACTCGTTAGTAAACACTGATGAAAAATATTCGTTAAACACAGAACTATCATGGTCGACGTTGCACATCCGACCATTCCTAACTCTCCCCATCTTCCTAAACGTCCGTGTGTGTCCGAACACCAGAAACCGTAATTTTAAAGGTTAAAAACGGCACGTTGCGAATATGGAACGCGCACTTTCATGCAAAGCTGACGTCAAGTGACTCAAATCGAAAAACATGCATATTTACAATATTGCTATCTCTTCTGGTGAAGGCTCAGCAACCGTTGCATCCGTTTTCGCGCACGAAACGGCGACTACCAGAGAAAGTAAGAACGCAGTGATTGCCTTTATTTTAACAATGTAAACACACTTGCAGGCGTGCGCTGATGAAGCCTCAAAATCAAAGCTCTCGTAGTGTGATTCGTGACTGTGCCGGCTACTACCCAACCTCGTTGTTACGCCACTTTCTGGAAGCATACACCAAAATTACAAGTAAACACACAAAAGCGACATCGATACAATTATCTTCTAGAATATCACCTTATTTAGTCATAACTCTTTCAATAGGCACTACAAGTTGTATTTATTTTAAGAAGAAGAAGCAAAATTTTTTTCGTGAGAAAAAACAAAATATCAATATTAAGTCTGGTAACGTTGTAATTTTGCCGAATCATTGCCAAATCTTTAGAAAAGTTGGACAAAAGTTGCGCCGAATTTTCGATTTGGGGGGGGGGGGGGGGGGAGGGTCTGGTTTGCCCCCCCACTCAGAAACAAGTTGGTACGCCACTGGCCGTACCCTTTCAGAGAGGGCGGTGCGAAGCCCCGTGCAGTAAAGCACTGGATATAATGTAAAATGTATCCAGTGCTTTACCATGCATTTCAAAACCAAATGTTCTAGCGTCTCACTCTCACTATGGCATATGGCACAATATTGTGTTATCTTTTGTGACCTGTCTTGCAATCTTCCCTCGCCCATTTTCCTTTCTTACTCTTCCCCTAGTTGTCAGCTTTCGGGTTTGGTTTATTCATTTTGTGTTGCATCTTTTTATGTATAAATACTTGAATACTTTCTGTGCACACCAAGCGCAGAGAGCTGTGGAAAATTCCCGTGTAAAAACAAATCCCCTAAAAATCTAAACAAACTTTTTGCACTCATCTAAGTTCCTCTTCCCACTGCTATTTAAACTATACCTCCATGCAGATGAGAATTAACAAAGAACACATAAACAGGCCCTTTAACATCGAGGTAATGCTTGGCAGAAGCTCCGAAAACATGACTGCTCCATAGTCCGTACCATGCCTTAGTTCCACGTCCGTATACTTGTCTCGTAGTTTGTGAATCACGTTTGCTCTGCACAGTTCTGGCACTGCTGTAAACTTAGATGACTACGGTCAATAATTCGGCTAGTTGGTAATCTAAGACGCAAACTCGGTGCAAAAGACGAGGACAAGCAAACAAGAACAGTTGGTACTCCAATCGGATGGCGGGACCTCACCAATCAGGCAGGTCGATGCAACGCCTTTGCCCACCACCTACAAAGTCTTCTTGTGGGCAAAACTAGTTTTTTGCACAAGTTTCAAATTTTGATGTAGTCTGCATGGGCCTTGGGCAATGTGCAGCACTTATTTTTGCAATGAAAGACATATGTGCTTTTTAACCATGAAATACTTACTAAACCGAACATCAACGTAGCGCTTTTTAAATGCGTAAGCATTTTTTGCCCTGTAGTGCAAGCAGCCGTCTTTCGTTTGGACGGCCATGGTTTGGTTTGGACTGGACCGGTTTTGGTGAAGCTGCGGCGTGGTGCACGGTTCCCACTGTGCTGTTTTGGTCCACTTTCCCTTTTACAAGAGGAAAGAGCACTCTGGCATGCTTCCAATGATGCGCCGCGAGAGCAAGAAACAGGGGAAGCTGCAGTGGCCTGGTCAGCCTGGTCGCCGCATCCGAAAGCGCAGACGCCCGGGAGAAGAGACTGGCTCTCCAAGCACAACAGTATGCAGACCATTGCGAGATTGGAATTCTCGTCTTTCGCCAAGTCGGAACCCCCGCTTTAAATTCTGGCACATTTCATAGAAAATTAATCAGCGTAATGACAGCAGCGATTTCGGCATAATGTTTGTTTCTTTAGCGACGTGGTGTAGTCACCCTGACAAGTCAGCTGTTGATTGCACTAGCCTAATTCCCACATCGTTTGAACCTGCAGAACGATGTTGTGCCCCGAAACAATCGCAGACACGATCCACCACTTGCATCAAGCTTCACCCCTTTGCACCAGCAAGCTCAGAGAAGCGACTGAAGCAAGGGGTCCTCTCGGTAAGATATTTCTTTGGTCCCGAGCAAAACAATCAACCTTAATTGGAGTAAATGATATTTGTCAGTAAGAAACACTCGTTTCATGGTTATAGTCATATCTTGTTAATATGGACGCCTCTGTTCCGCAGAAAAATCGTCCATAGTGCAAATCATCCATAATAATGAATCGAGGTCAAAACACACACATCGACAAGCGTAGTGAGTGGGCTTTTGCTGTGAACCACTTAAAGAACAAAAATTTCCCCCTTCCCTCTCATAGCCCAATTAGCTTCGTGGGTTCAGAGCTTCTCTCCCACTCGCCAAACAGCGACCAGGTCTAATGAGGTAGCCTAGCTGCTTTAGGGTTCCTTTGTTCCCGGTTGTAGGTCATACACAATCTCAAGCTACACTAGAGTGCAAGCGGTAATGACACATTTTACGTAAAAGACAAAACAAAAAAATATATTTCAGTGCGCTTTTGCGAGATCTGCAACAAACGTTCCGGTGCACATGTGACCTCTTGGGTTCACCAATATCTGAAGAAAGTTTTGAGACCTTTCTTTTTTTCAATTGGAATACTAACATTTTATATTTATCTGATTCATGCCCAAAATAGCTGTCCATAGTCCGGACTGCGGGTTTCCATATTAACGAGGCAAAACTGCACAGTGAAATATTGGTCGCTGAAAATTTCGTCTGAAATGCAAGGTGTTAATATTATTGGGGCCCATATTAACAAGACATGAGTGTATATAAAAGAGAGAAACATCACACAAGTCTGATGTTTCTCGCGCATGACAATAAAAGTTTTATTGCTTAGCTCGACTAAAGTGTGAGGAAATCACGGACCCTGTCCTTGAAGGCCCTCACTTCAGAGTACACTAATTTAGAAGATGGCACTTGTTCACAGGCAGAATAATATAAGATTGCCTTCTTCACACTTTTATTGTGGCAGTGCAAGAGAAAGTTGCACAAAGCAGCACCTTAAGCACGAAGGATGGATCGAGGCAAAAAGTGGAAAACTTTTATTGAGACTCGTAACATTTTGTGACCATTCTCCAGGAACTAACTACGTTATCGCGTCATCTCTTTGTGCCCAGAATTAGGCGGGGAAGGAACTACGGTACGCCGGCAGTTGATGTGGCGCAGAGCCGGTCTCCTCGACACTAAATGGACACACGCCAGTTATCCGATTGGCATCAAAAGTCATTATTCTGCAAATGCTATTCCCTCTGGTCGGGGAGAGGACTGCATTCTGCAGTGCCTTGTCCACCAAAAGAATAACGTCATACGTGCCCGCCATAGCAGTGAAGGCTGAATCAAATGCTCCGAATGAGCGACACAACCTGAACCATCCTGGCTACATTGTAGCATGGACCAGCCTCTGTTAGCGGGGCATTTCAAACGAGAAGCTGCGATATAGACTTCTAAAATAAGGCCTCTGTGAAGCGAGCAGCACGCTGCAAAGGCACCACGACAAATCTAGTTTATGTACAGATCAACAGAAAACTGATTGGCAATACACTAGAACCCGCCTTTCGTAAAGACTGCTTATTCGGGGAACTATCTACACCGTGTCAGCACATCAGATGCCTGCACCCGTTTTGGTAGTTTAACTTTGCTCTAATATACCCATACTACATCACAAAGTCTTTGCTACAGAGGTTGTACCGTACCGTCACTGTATATAGATGCATCTGTATTTAACAATGTCTCGTGAGAAAAGAGCGAGGCAACGTAGACGTTTGCATTTTAACTGCCTCTGAATGTCCAGCAACTCTATTCAGCAGCTGCCTTCAAAGTTAACAATATTCTCTCCGTCAGAATTGCACAGTTCTCATAAGACTAATCACAAAACAGCTGCAAAAAAAGTATTTAGTTAGCAACCAGACGAAAAAGTAATCAAAGAATGTACAGTAATCTCAATAATTGCAACAATCGTCCAAATGGAGTTCAGGGAAAGCAATGGAATGTAGCCCTCGACGGGGCAGAGAAAACGGCCCTCGGCTCATAACAAAATGCTTCAATTTCCTGCAAACACTTGAGCACCCCAGAGTACAGTGGCTCTCAATAAATCCTTCATAGATTCAGAAACCTTCCGAACAGCTGCAATAATACTGTCAGCCAGACACCGAAGGTATGCGAAGGCAACAACAATCAATCCCCTGGCGTTCGAGAATACAGACCGCGACACAAAATTGAATAACCTGCTTAGTGTTGAATCTGTACAGCACCATTTGAAAACAACAACACGATCAATATAAAATTTATGTCGTGCAGTAGGTCGTATAAATATTGCACTTTAAAATGCCTCTATTATTATTAGGGCTCTCAGTTATAGCTTTAGTCTAATTCCCCTTTAATTATTTAAACTGCACCGAACACACCCAACGTTTTTCCGGTGTCCACGGCACTCGGTGCAGGAAAGAACTAATAATCTGCCATCTCGTTTACAGAGTTTGCTGCCCTCGCGAAAGCGCAAAATTAATCTCGGATGGGAGCAAGATGCTTCCTCGACCTAAAATCATGCAAACGCTTCTGTTATACTAAGTAGCTTGCCTTCACTGTTGTTGCATGGTGCGACAAAATCCAGGCCCGCGAGCTTCGTTTTAATAAAGGTTTTTGGTAAGTATGTGTACCGCAATTAAGTACACCCGTTAAAACTGCACATATTCGAGAATGTTCCTCACTGGAGTTGCTTCTTTCCCATGATGGAAAGGGACAGGTCGGATGGACGCTGGTCAGCAGCTCTCTCAAGGGCCGTCGGGGCTTAAAATCTCCCACGAGCGAGTGGACGCATCGACTATGCACCCACCTGTCCACGGTCGTCAAAACTACACTCCGATTCACACTTAAAATACTGGGCGACGAGGCACGTGTATGGCACGGGCTAAAATCTTGCCGGTCGCTAAGCACACTCTGTAACCGTCGCCACCTCCGTAACGAGGACAAATTGCATTCGGTGGTCCAGTCAAAAGTAAGGCACCGCTGGCAGTTGCAATTTCCGGGGAGACGAAATAAATAAGTGCAAGGTTAAAACGTTCGACGTGCGAGGCAGTGAGTGGTGGACGGAACGGAGCATTTGCGCGCGGGTCTTCGAGCGGCGCAAAATCACGGGCCGACGTTCTGGCTGCGGCGACGACGGACGCCGCTGGACGGGGTCTCGATCTGGAATGTCTCGCCGGTCGTTTCGGCACTGAGGTAAGGGACTTGAGTGCATCTTTGGCAAGAGGGGCGGGGGGAGCCCGGCGGCTAGATGAGCCTCTCCTCGGGCGGCGGCTTCATGACGGGGTTCATCTCGACCCGGGAGCCAAACATCTCCTGGTTGCTGGGGCTGTAGGTACCCCGGGTGGCCCGCTTCTTTTTGGCCATGCGCAGAAACACCGTGGCGAAGGCAATGAAGGCCAGTAGGAAGACGCATGCCACCGTCAGCCCAATCACCAGCTTCAGGTCCGTGCTGTCCAGGGAGGCACTCTGCACCTGCGAACATGCACGCGCACACCTGCCTTTAGAGCCATTTTATCAAATATTTATGCGACGCAGTTTGGGTAACGACAACAATGCAATATTGTCGGATTGTGACAATGGTCTAAGAGCTACGACCGCACAATGGCAGCAAAGCCACCAAGTAAAAATGCAAAGTTTCTAAGGCTACAAAGATTCTATGGCAGTTGACATCTTAGAAAGAAGGTGGGGGTAAAAAAAAACGGCTGTGGGCATTTGCTACCCATATCTGATGAATTACAATGACAAAATTAATTGACTAATTACAATGACAAAAGCGTAAATAAAGAAAACTACCGTAATATTGCTGTCTGCATAGCTAAGTCAGCGTAGCTGAGTCGGCAGCGTGCTTGGCTCCCACGCAGGTGGCCTGGGTTCGATCCCTGCCACTACCCATTCTTATCCTTCCCCAAGTTAATAGAAGATTCTAGAATGTTTGAGATAGTTCTAGAACAATCAAGGTTGAGGTCGAATGTTCTAGGTTTTTGGTGAAGCCTTCAGAGAAGCTGTGCTGCGCCGTGGAAAGTCAGCGTCGCTCCAGTGCTCTACCCCTTTACCACGCTGCCATCAACGCTCCTTTTATTTATTTTTGCTTTGGCACAAGTTCACCACATTAAACAGACCATGACACGATTTTAGACAGAACTTTACTGACTGCATATCGTTCAGAGAATCAAAAGAAAACTAACATGCGAGATTAGAAAGGCTAAATTTATCCTAATTTTTTGGCATGAAATTTTGCAAATATAAGCGGACGAAGCTGAGTGCAATAATGGATGGATTAATAATTGAGTTGCGGAGAAACTTTTTGTAATTGGCGGTCGCTTGCACCGCCTAGCAAAGTAACCGCAACATCCACAGTGTCGGAGTCTTTTTTTCCCCTTTTTCCCTTTTTTCTGAGCATGTCAGTTGAATTTAGTTTCCGTATTGGATACGAGTAGTGTGTCACTCTAATTGTGCTTGCAAAGGATGAAAGTGTCTATGAATATCCCGTTGCTTAAGCATTAGCATCAACGAAAGCTCGAGAGGTTTCTCCACAAGGAATCTTATTAGGAATTTATATTATTTTGTTTCTAGCGTTTTGTGTTCGCAGCTAAAATGTGAAGCTAACATTCGGTACTGATTAACTGCCACTTTTCCACGGCCGGTTCCGGCACCGAACTGCTACAGCCTTCGTCAGGCGAGTACTTGTTTTGTCGCGTGGGCGTCCCATTGTACAGAACAAGGCCCATACTTTCACTATACTTCACTCAGCGCCACGGTGTTGATTACACATAGCCGCCACGGTGTTGATTACACAAGCGTTGCGGACCGAGTCCTACAAAGTAATCGGAGTTCATGGAAACTTCAGAAGGTGATGTCGTTTCGACGTCCTTGCATCGAAACGTCGACGCAACGCGATGCTTGACTGTCGCGGCTCCCTAGCTCGGCTGGGAGACCCTTCATTACTGGTAGAAAGGCATACTTCACGTCACAGCCGCGTGATTTCACATGTTGGTGGCCGAGTCTGGTCGAGTCGAGGAGGAAAGCAGATGCGAGTTTTCATCTTTTCTTGGTGCAAAACTGGAAGCAATAAAATGATAACGGATTCCTGCTCCGAATTCCATGAACATTGAAGATTAATTAGTCTCCATTCGGAAAAAACTGGAAAATCATTTCATGGTTCCTTTAAAGGGACACTGACACCCCCCAAAATTTTTTTTTTTATTTTTTGCCAGGCGCTTTATTATGGTGTCGGAGGACTACCCAATTAATATTTTGCAACAGAGTAGCATATTTTTTTAATAAAGCCAAAAGACGCAACTGCTCGAAACCGAAACCGAAACTCGACGGAGGTCGGAGAAGTGGAGAGAAGAGAGTGAGTGGCGGAAGTCACGTGCTACACCCGACCGTGCGTTTTTTTTTTTTTTTTCTCCTCTCCGTAGCAGACGACACGACATGCGGCGTGCGATGCGGCGTGCGGGAACTGCTCGCCGTGCTATTCTTTTGCAGTTATGTTTGTTCCGTTCGTTGTTCTGTACTCCAAGATGAGTTATTTTGTACATTGAGGAGTTGGAGATGAGTAGTGAGTGCCCGTGGTGAATTTCCATGATCGGCTTCGAAAAGAATACACCCAAGATGTTGCGTGAAGAGCTGGCTCACATGTCCTGCATCCGAAACAAAAGTGGCATTGTGCGACAGAGTTTCCGAAAGATCTACGGGATCGGGACCAATGGCTGGCAGCAATTCCTGTAGAACATATACGGGCACCTCGGAAAGCGGACGCTACCTGATTTATATGCTCCTTGCATTTAGTGGAAAGTGATTACATTGAGTTCGCAGGTGTCGAAACGGAAGTCCCATACCATTTATTCAGCGAAGTATCGTCCACAACATTTGTTTGTTATTTTTTTGTTTGTTTCTTAAGTGATGATTGCAAAAAAAGAGAAAAAGATATGTAAACATCAAAAAATGTTTGAAAAAAAAAAAAAAAAAAGATTCACGGGGGATTGAACCCAGTCCTACCGCGTGTGATCCGGATGTCTTTCCCACTGAGCTACTGGGGCATCTCCTTCCTGGTGGATCTCTTTCCTTAGTAATAATTCAGCTGGTAAACTGTAAGTTGGAAAGCTTGCTGTCGATTTTTCTCTAGCAAAAGCACTCCCGGGTCGAAGTCGGGAAGCACCACGCTTTGGGGACATTCGCACCTAGTAAAGAAATCGTACACGTGCATATTCAACTCGAAGTAGACACGTCGTGCTTGACGTTTGCGCGAGCGATGTCTTCAGCCACGAGAAGGGAGCGACAGCTCGGCGACGTCTTCGTGCAAATCGGCTTGGTGGCCGGGCGTGTCGTACGGGATGAATACCAATTCTTTTGATCAGTCCCAAATTTCTCTTTTAACGGTAGACAGAATTCGCCGGTACCGTGAACGACAGTTCTGAGATAGAGGTCCCACGCCCGTCGTTAGCTACCATCGCCGTCCCCGCGAGTCCCACGATACGCGAAACGACGAACGCACAGAATGCTTCCGGTTGTCTGTGGAACTTTTTTTTTTTCAAACAACGTATTTACAGCTTTTTAGAAGCCACAAAAAATGGGTTTCATATTTTTTTCTATTTTTAATATTCAGTGTGTGCCTTCAGTGACCCACGACTTTGATTAAATTTGGTGGTCGCATCGATACCTTAGAAAACGGCCCGTGACCGCGAAAAAGAGAGTGAGCGAGGCTTGAACCGGCCAGTTCTTGATCGGCGGTTTTCCGGCGGAAAGAAACCGAATTTTGAGCCGCAAATTCTGTTCTGGGTAGTTGAGCTCTCATATGTCACGTACAACTAAAAACCTCCGCGAGCATAAATACCCTGTCAGTGTCCCTTTAAATGTTTAGTTTCCCGACTGTCCATCTGTCACCTCATCAGTTTCATGACAATATCACGAAAGATAATCCAGCCCTCGTTTCGACATGATTTGCTATTTCTTTTTTAAACACCGAAAGATAGCTTACATCTAGTAATTGCAGTGCCCTGGCCAAAGGTGACAATGGCCGAAATGGGGTAGGTGGCTACGACGGGAGATCACCATAAGTACATTGCTGACTGAGGACAGTTGTTCATGCTCCATTACCCCTCAATGTGAAAACAAGTTTGGTAGGCCACAGAATACAAAAAATAGCATATATTTTACATTTTTCTCGATTGCACACCAAAGGTTAGCCCACTCCTCATTTTCACTCGATTTGCTCTCGCCTTTAGGTGGGCTATTTCTCGGATATTACGTATGTACAAGCCAACTTTGCAGCTCTGAAACAGAATAATCAACCCTGCTTGCTCGGCACACATGATTCTACAGTAAAACCTCGTTATAACGAAATGGGATATAACAAAGTAATGGATATAAAGAAGTAATCGTAATTTCCCTTGAAATTCCCATAGAAGCCCATGTATTTAAGACCTCATTTTAATGAAGCGAAAATTTCCTTGCAATGAGTATAACGAACCATTTTTTTCTAAAACAAGATGGCAATAACAAAGTACTAATACGGCCCCCCTTCAACTTCGTTATAGCGGGGCGGTAATTCAAAACTCCCACGCACTAAAGGCCGCAAACTCCCGTGCGCTAAAATGGCTAAAAGTCGCTTGGCAACATGCACGCGCACGCCGATGGCGCCGAGTCTCTCGGCCTCCCCTTCTCAAGGAATGCATAAACCCATCTACCCTTCCGCCGCCTGAAAGAAGCAAGATGGACGACGACAAGCGGAAGCACAAAACAATCTCGATGGAGCAAAAGGCGGCCATGCTTAAAGCTGTCGAGTCATGCGTGAAAAAGAAAAAAGTGGCTGAGGATTTCGGCATAGCGTTGAGTATGCTGTCTACAATTTTGAGCAGCAAGCAAGCCATCACCAGTGCGGTCGCACGTGGCGTCAAAGGCGACACGAAGAAGCTGCGAGCCCCAGCCTTCGAAGCTGTAGAGAAGGCGGTGTTCAAATGGTTTTTGGATGCTAGGGCAAGTTGCATTTCTGTGAGTGGAGCACTGCTGCAGAGGAAGGGGAGGGACTCCGCCTGCATAATGGGACACAACGATTTTGTGGCAAGTGGCGGCTGGCTGCAACGCTTTAAAGAACGGCACTAGATCGTTGGCAGGGCAATCAGCGGTGAAGCGCTATCTGTCAACTGAAAAGCTGCGGTAGCATGGGTGCAAACCAACATTGGAGAGCTGCTGCAAAAGTACAGTGCCAAAGATATGTTCAATGCGGATGAGACCGCCTTATTTTACCAGATGTTGCCACAAAAAACCTTGGCTCTCAAAGGTAAACGCTGCCAGGGCGGTAAACGGAGTAAGCTCTGCATGGCTGCGTTGCTTTGTGCAAACGTGGACGGGTCTGAAAAGTTGCCAGCTCTCGTTATCGGCAAACGTGAGTCACCACAATGTTTTAAAGGGAAAAGGAAACTTGACGTTACTTATGTTTCCAACCGCAAAGCTTGAATGACAAGATAATG